ACTAAAATTTCAGAAGGAAAAGACATTTCCAACTGAAAAGTTGATTTTTTTTTATTTAAAAAAGGTCAAAACAAGATACTCAATAAGTTCAATTTTTTTTCAAAATGTTTTCATATCAGGAGATTCATCAAAACCGCCCCCTTTCCCGCAAACAGGGGACGAACTGACATTTTTGTCAGAAATTGTATCTGAGAAACCTTTCTGGAAAAAGTGTCGTCAGAAAGTTCCCCACCAATTCTATCTCAGGCCCTTCCCACTTTGCATCAATGCTGGGGCTACAGGGGGGTCCCTTAACCCACACAGAATCGGCCAGTCCTGCCAGGCTGTCAGACCAGACCCTATCTTCTTCTCTGAAGCAGCCAGCAGTACTGATGGCATTTGAGAAGCACCCCCCTCACCCATCACAGGCCCAGAGAGCAGGATGCCCAGCTCCATTCATGGCTTGATATTTCATGTGCCTGTTGCCTCTGCATTATGCAATACCGCAGAAGAAAAGGCAGGGTATGCCTCAGCCAACGTGAGTGAAGCTTAAACATTCTGCATGCTAAAAATTGTGCAAGGCTGCAGCCCATGTTGCTCTTCCAACACTTATACTTTGTTGTCCTTTGATCTTTATCTCCCCTCACCAGCGCTTCCACTGGGGTTAAAAGGCATCTAATTCCCTTAGTATCTTCAAACCACTCGCACGGGCTTAACTAATCCCCTCTCACAACATCCCGGTCAGGAAGGTATTATTTTCCCCATTTTACAGGCTGGGAAACCGAGGCACTGAGAGGTGAAGTGACTTACTCAAGGCAGCACAATCAGTAGGTGTCAGAGCTAGAAAACAAACTCAGGAGTCCTGCCAAGTAGCCCTAGGCTCTGTGCACTCGACCTGGCTGTCCCCTCTGCTGGAAAGAAGCAGCTGCGAGTTACACAGGAAATTAGAAGCTTGTTTCAAGAGAGAGAAGCCCAGAGAGACTTACCCAGATCACCAGTACACACCAGCCAAGAGCAGCAGACAGGAACGGCGACAGCAGCTCCGTTTGTGCAAACACAGTGCAGCTTCCCTTCCCGAGTAGGAGGAAGGTGATTTTTTCTCCTGGCCAAACCTGCTCTCCAGCTGCATCTCTCTGAATTGCTACACTTCGCGACGGCGCCCTCCCTCCTGATTAGACGTGGGGCAAGGTGTTTCAGATAGCACGTGGGGCAAAGGGGTTAAGGACGGTGTGTAGTGGGAGAGAAGCTAGTGATCTGAGATGTTTTGTGGATTAAGCTAAACCAGAAAAAGGCACTTTATTCTGCACTGAAAGTGTTGAGGTGGGGAGCTGTTCCAGAAAAGCTATTGTGCTTTAAATTGACATCCTCCCTTAATCCAGCTTAGCTTCCTTCTGTAGAAAAGCCCTTGGGCTCAAAGGGTGAAATTCCTCCTAGTACATACACACCATTCTGATGCATAATTTAAATACCCCTTAATCCCATAGGGACTTCAGTGGTGCTGTGACATTGTTCTGGCCCTCAGCACAAGGGCGAATGATGTCTTCTTTGAACTGGGGTGTTCTTTTGCCCGTCGGTTCCCTAAGCCAGGGGTCCTTAACCTTTTTCTTGCTGAGCGCCCACCCCCACCCCCACCCATACACACTATAAAAACTCCATGGCCCAGTTGTCCCACAACTGTTTTTCTGCATCTAAAAGCCAGGGCCGGTGTTAAGGGGTAGTAAGCAGGGTAATTGCCCAGGACCCCACACCATAGGGCAGTGGTGGGCAACCTGCAGCCCACATGTGGCCCATCAGGGTAATCCACTGGCAGGCCGCCAGACAGTTTGTTTACATTTGCACGGCCACCTGCAGCTCCCAATGACCGCCGTTCGCCGTGCAAATATGAACAGACTGGCGGCCCGCCAGCAGATTACCCTGATGGCGCGGGCCGCAGGTTGCCCACCACTGCCATAGCAGGTACCACAAAGCTAAGATGCTCAGGGCTTAGCTTCAGTCCCAGGTGGTGGGGCTCGGGGCCCCGGGCTGCAGTCCCATGGTTTTCTCCCCTGGGCCCTAGCAAGTCTAATGCCAGCCACATTAAAACCTGTTCACAGCCCCTCAGGGGGCCCTGGACCCCTGGTTGAGAACCACTACCCTAAGAGACCGAAATCCAGCATATGTTCAGACTTCCATCTGAAGCTCACAATGTGCTTCTACATTAACCACAGAACGAGTAACAGCAGGCACACTTGTGGGCAGGCAGCGTCACCAACCCTTGCAGTCTTATTCCAAGCTCTTTGGGGTTTTACCTGCAGTCCCACTGTGACACAGAAACCCTCTGGCAAAGGGACCCCTCTCACCTCAGACCTGGCACACACGTTCCACCAAACACACGCCTTGCAGGACAGCGAGTAACAGTGAGGTGTTGCCAGAAAGTGCGTAACTTGTTCATAATCATTCCGAGATGTTGGCATGGGTAATATTGAAGGCAGAATGCAGCTACATTGGTAGTGCGCTTTCTGGACTTGGAGTAAAAAAGAAATGATTAATCACCTGGCCCATCCGGGCAAGGCGGACTTGTCGCCTCGTCCTGTCTGCCTGGTGATGCACTGTAAGACAGAATTGTTTAGCCTTGCGCAAGACTGACCCTTTGAATGGGAGACAATCAGAGACATCCACAAACAGCTGAAAGCACTTAAAGTTGAAAAAGAAACTTGACAAGAAGACAGGGGTTCGACCTCTCTGTGATCAGAGACAAACGGTTGTTTTCAGTGTAATAGGTGTCAGGAAGGGCCCTGCCAGGGCTGCGTCCACTCACTGACAAACCCCCTGGAGGAGCAGAGGGTGGTTCGTGTACGCGTGGACCCTGGCTTTTCTGAAATCAGCCACAAAAGACTGAACTTTCGGGAGGAAATCTTCTTTGGTAGCTGGGAAAGGCAACTGCTGATAAACATGGAGGCAGGCGGGTGTGCATCTTTATGTTTTCTTTCGTACTGTAACCATGTGTGTCTGCCACTCTCTCTCAGTTCTGGTTATAGCCTTATTCTGACTTTAATAAACCTCCTCTTGGTTTATTAGAAGTGCTCACAAGGGCTGTGTGTTTTACGGAGCGGGGGTTTAAGGTAAAAACTGGCAAACTGGGGGACAGTTTGGGGGCAGAGAAGTTGGAATTTCTGTGAGTAGCCAGAGTCAGGGGCCGGATATCGCAGGGGAAGGACTCAAGGGACGCGGGGACTGGGATGCAGCTTTTGTTAACCTCCAAGGTGAAGTGCGGGCTAGCCGAGCCCCCAGCAGAGGGCTGGAGCTGACAGTCACCACAGGAAAAACTCCCTCTTGCTGGAGCAGGGGTAACAAAGTGACTCAGAGGCACAGAACAGTCACACCCACTTCCTGGAGTCAAGTAATGACAAAAGAATCTCAGCTTTTAATTTGTTTAAAAAGTAAGCTTCCCATCTTCACGGCTGCAGAGCACAACTGGAACCTATGGCTCAAGAACCGGAAAATGACTATAAATCACCCAAGATTTTATTACTCGTTCTTAAATCTCGCGATTTATTAAGCCAATCTTGAGATTTTTTTAGAGCCCGACTCATGATTTTTGACCACAGGGGGGTTGGCAGTGCTGGTCACACCTGTGCAGGCAGATCCGCGCCGATTTGCTCTTTGCTTGTAGGCACGAGCTTTTAGTGTCGCTATCACACCAAAATTAAACTTACTAAGCCGTCGAACCTGGAGCTGGGTGAATCATGGGATTTTCGGTTTGTTGACCGACTAATCCAATGTGGCTGGTGGCTTCATTTTTAATTTTATTTTTTCTTATTATTATTATATTTGTTCATAGTTTCATGGAATTTAAGGCCAGATCATCTTAGGGTGACCAAATGTCCCGGTTTTATAGGGACAGTCTCGTATTTTGGGACCTTTTCTTTTATAGGCACCTATTACCCCCCACCCCCCTGTCCTGTTTTTTCACAGTTGCTATCTGGTCACCCTAAGTCTTGCCCTCCTGTATATCACAGACCGTTCTATTTCACCCAGGTACCCACTATTACACCCAAATTTAAGGTGGCTCAACACACCACTGGAGGTTTTTAAGACCAGGTTGGACAAGCCCCTGTCAGGCATGGTCTAGGTTGACTTGGCCCTGCCTCAGTGCAGGGGCTGGATTTGATGACTTTGCAAGGTTCCATCCAGCCCTGCATTGCTATAATTTCAGTCCCCAGGAAACTAAACTGTGGGCCCCACAGGCAGAGAACAGGAGAGACCATGGTTCCTGCAATGCCCAAAACCCCTGCAATGGCAGGGAACCGATTAGGTGAGAAAATGTTGGCTGGGAGGGAGGGCACTACTCCAGATCTTGGAGGTGTTTCTGTCTGGGCGGTTAGTTTACTGTGGACACAGGCAGGCTTTTTGCAAACTTCAGATCCAGGTTTGGATTCCACCCCCTCCTCCCTCTCTCCTCGCCGCCCCACCAGAATTCAGGCACGTTTCATTGGAGCTGAAGAATTCGTCCAGGGAGCAGAGACGTGGTCAGGCATTGACGGGGATGGACTTCTGGAGGCGGGTGATGACAAGAGGCTGCTGACTTCAGCAGCAGCGTTGGGGGCCAGCAGGACGAGGAGACACGGATTAGCTTCAGACCCAAATACGGGAGAACCTCTGAGTTCCGAACACCTCAGGCATGGAGCTTGTTCATCACTCTGAACAAAACCTTCTGGCTGCTCTTTCAAAAGTTTGCAACTGAACATTGACTTAAAACAGCTTTGAAAATTTGCGATGCAGAAGATGGTTTTAAAATGCTGCTTTCCCTTACTTTTTTAGTAGCTTACTGTTTAACTCAGCCCTGTCCTGTATTTGCTTTTTTTTTTTTTTCCTTCTGTCTCTGCTGCTGCCTGATTGCGTCCTTCCGGTTCCAACTGAGGTGTGTGGTTGACTGGTCAGTTCGTAACTCTGAGGTTCGTTCTACTGTGAAACCTTTGCAGGGGAGTAAGGCTAAAGCAGGCGCTGCCGGAGCAGAAAATCGGAGCTACACAAGCTGAGCACGTGGTTCGAACACAGACTCTGTCCCTTTATTTACAATTCTTTATAGACTTGGCTCTGGGCTCCCTTTCGTGGGCTGCAAGTATATTGTACCTGCCCCATCCCAGACAGAGCACACAAAGACCTCAGCTCAGCAATGCGTCCATCCCTGAGTCCACACTTCTAGCCCAGTGGATCTGATAAGAAAATGCACAGCGCTGAATTTCAGTGGAATCTAGAGATTAGAGGAGGGGGCGGGGCTGATAGTCAGGACTCCTGGGTTCTACTCCTAGCTCTGGAAGGAAAGTGCAGACTAGGGGTTAGAGAACGGACGGGGAGTTAGGACTCCCTGGTTCTATTCTTGCCTCTTTCATTTGTTGGCTGTGTAATCTTAAGAAAGTCAGTGACCCTGAGTTTACTTCTCTGTAAAGTAGACCTACATCCCAGCAAGCGTGTAGGATTAATTAACCGTTCACAAATTTCTGTGAGCTCATCAGCTGAGGTGTAAAGCAAGAGGAGCTTGTCTGTCACATGGTTTTTCCTGGCTAGCCCGCGTCCTCAATTACGCCAAGTTTGTTTTGCCGATTTCTCAGCTTTGTAATTAAACAGACGAGGAAAGCTGGAAACACTCAGTGCCTGATCCTGCATCACCACTGGTCTTCAGGCCACAGGGTTTAAGTGAGCCTTAAATGAGTCATAAACCCTCTGCCCAGGACTGAATTTCACCCAAATATAATAAAAAATATTATTGCTATGGGCCACATTCTCCCCTGCAGCAAGATATGCCTGGTGCAAGGTGGAGAGGACAGTCAGGAGCCAGTTATCTCCCTTGAATTCTCATGCTGCCCCAGACCCAGCCTTGACATAAATTAGAGCAGTCTAGGGGCTGCTCTAATTAACCACAGCTGGCTATGGTCTCTAAGGGCCAGATTTTTTAAAGTATTTAGGTACCTAGGAGAATTTTCAAAAGCAACAAGGTGCCTAAAACCCATTGAAATCATGGGGTGTAGGTGTTTGGGCAATCGGCACAAGAATTTGCTCTGTTGGTCTGAGTCCAGCTCAGAATTTCAACGGGGGAATTCTCAACTGGCTAGATGCAGCCAGATTGCTTCCCCCGTGCATTGCCCAGCAGACAGAACTGGGGCTGAGAATCCAACCTGCAACATTTAGGAGTCAAAATATATCTCTCTATATACTAAGCACATGAGCAGAGCCGGCTCCCTTGGCCAGCATCCTCGGCTTTCAAGAGCCGCGCGCGTCATTCACCAGGCTGGTGGCGCTCAGTGTTTATAATGCGGCCACTTCTTGAGGGTTTTACGGATGTGCTGCCCAGGAGAAAGGGTGTTGCTGACGTCCCCGTGGGCCATGAGGAGGTAATTAGAAGACAAGTAGCCATTCTCAACGGCGAAGTGGAGCAGGTGCTTCAAAGCTTTCCAGGCCGCAGCGTTGGGAGACCTTCCTGAAAGAGACCAGGAAGGGATTTGGCTCAGAGAACCTGCCCGGCTTCACCTCCTGGGGGCTGACATGGGACAGGCCCCATGAATCAATGTAACTTTTTCGGAGCAGGTGCTCAGGAGAGAGATGGGGAGGATGGACTGTGGAGACCTGAGCGAGGCTGCAGTGCGTCCCCTTGGATTCATAAGGAGTGTAATCACCCAGCCAGCTCTTCCATCCCACCCCCCACAAGCGATTCAGAGGGCTATGCATGGGTCATGGGGAGGAGGTCTGGAATGCAGGACAGGTGCCAGACTAATGGAAAGGACCAAGTAAGCAGACATCCTGGGAGCCTTTAAGAAACTGCCCCCACGCCAGCGATGTCCTGACCCTTTTGGCTTGTGGCTGCACATGAGCTGGGCTTAAGTTCTTTGTGTTTGTACAGCACCTAGCACCATGGGTGGAGGTCACTTCTCATGCGTTAGGCCTGATGCTGTCTCCCAACATGGGGCTGAACTTGACCTATGGCTCGGAAATCTCAGATCAAAAGCTCTACGCCCTGTATCAATTCCTATTGAATTGTAAAATGCCCAGATCAATTGAACAAAATCTCCACAGCCACTGGGAGCATCCAACTTCTGGAGTGACCCTATTTCCAAGTCTCTGAGCCATGGGAAAACGGTAGCCAAGAAAGACGCTTACCTGTAAAGTCGCCTATAAAGGCAATGCCTAGAGAGATATCGTTGAAACCATAAGTGTGAGCACCTTCTGTATGCCAGCCTCTGCCTTCATACACCTTTCCATCCTCACCAATCAGGAAGCTGCAGGGATGGGAAAGGAAATGTTTCTAATCCAAAATTTGCCATCCATACGCGGCTGAGGTTTTCACCTTAAGGCTGCCTAGAGATCCAGACATCTAATTGCCATTCATTTTAACCAGAATTCTACCTTTATACCTCCACCCATCACCCTGCTCTCATTAGTATCCAAAGAGCAAAAACAGCTTTGGAGGATCGCAGCTTAAAGCCACAGCAAAGGCAGATTTGCAGGTTAGGATCTGAAAAGCAGAACTGGGCAAAAGTTTCTGAACAAGTTTCTGAACATTCTATGAAGAGAAACATAATTTTTTTTTGTAACGTCACCAAAATATTTTCATAGAAATGCGTGGGGATTTTCTACCCACCCTAGAGTTGCTTGGAATTTTGTTGTCGATTGATGTATTTTGATATTATTTTAAAATTCTGAAATGTCAATAAAAATACGTTTTTTTGGAAAATTCCCACTAATTTGTTTGTTTGTTTGCATTCACCAGCTCTGCAGGTGAAACATTCATTTTCTTTGCGAGTGTTTTCTGGGGGTGGGGGGTGGATCTTTATTCTTGAGGGTAGATCCAATGCTTTTTTTAAATAACAAAAACACTAAATGAGTTGAATCATTTGTTATAGATTCATGCTGATTAGTTAAAAAAAATACGACCAACATTTCCAAAGTTGGGAGCTCACAGTAGCTTATTTATCTGTCTAAACATGGATTTTGGTGCCTAATTCTAGGGTTCCACATTTGAAAACATTGGCCTACATTATCCAGATTTCTCATGCTTTTTCCTCATCTCTTGACCAGAATCAGCTTGAATGAAAAGCTAAAGCTACTGCATAAAGCTGGTTATGTGCATTAGCTACAAGACTGAGCATGTGCTAATCGGTGCTATCTTAGACCCTGACCCTGCAAAGGTTTGACGTATGTGCATGCCTTCATGCACGTGAGTAACGGCTTGATGCGAGTGCGCATGCCCACATTTCTGCTGGATCAGGCCAAAGAATGTGCTTTTGCCTCTTACTTGTAGGCAATGTTGCACCAGCCCTTGTTGTTCATGTGGTAATGCTGGATATTCGTCATCTGCTGGTTGCATTCCGCACGCGTTTTGCAGCTGCCGCCGGCCGTGTGGAGCACAATGACGTATCCAGGCTGCACTGACTTGAGAGGCGATGAGCAGTTGGCGGGCCGGCCGCCCCACTTGCCTGGGGTGACAATGTGAAGGCAGAAAAACCCTGGAGGGAGAGAGAGAAAGATGAACCAAAGGGATGCAGCCGCCATCAGCCTCTGTGCCGGCAGCGCTCTCTGAACATCTCGGATGTCCCCATGCTCCTTTGCTCCCTCCAATTCCCTGACATAAAACCCCGCTGTAAGTAACTGACATTTCAGTGACTGTCACTTCCAAAGTGTTTAAGACACCCCTACTATCCTTCCTAATTGCTACATTCTGGGCAGCTTCTCCTTTGTATAACTTTGTGCCACGTACCAGGCTGAACAGAGCTGCATTACTATTCCTGCTTTAGGTTAGGAGAAACTGAGAGCAGTGAAGTGACTTGGTCTCGGTCAAACACCGAGAAATTGGTAGAGACAAGAACAGGACCCACTTCTGCTGGCTACAAACCCAACACTCTGCCTGCCCATGCCAAGTAATGGAAAGCATTGTGAGTAAGATAAACCCCAGACTCACCCCACGAGACAGCACACAGAGCACAGAGGAACGCAGCCAGCCTGAACATCCTGTGAGGCCTTCAGTTAAAATCTCCAAGCAAGAAGCATGACAGTGACCTGGAAACAAATCTGCACTTTACACCAGGAGAAAAAAATTTCTAGGGCTTCAAGAAGCAACATTAATGCAGGGAAAGAAACTGACAAACGATGAAGTCCAAAACACAGAGCCACATTGTTGGTGGCATGGCTGGGTGGACATCAGTGAAGTTACACCAGGGATGGATTTTCCCCCTCTTGTGTTTCGCCCCTGATTGTAACCTAGAATTCGGGTGTGCACGGAGAGCCAGCTCAAGGCCCAGGCTTCACTTCCACCCTCAAAACAGGGCTTGAGTGATGCATGGACCATCTGCCAGTGGGAGAATTCCCCCCACCCCCGAGTTCCCAAGCTGATGCAAGTGAGATTATAGCTAGTGATAATAATGCTGATGTTTGTGATTTGCTGTATGGACCAGAGGTACCTATGGGCATCCAAAGACATAAGACATGACAAACATTAATGGCAACAGGACCTAGGTATATTCCTAGGGCTAGAGAAGAAAACAACTCTATCAACCCAACAGCCTTCCTGTGGTTAAACAACCAACCCACATGCCCACCTCCATCAGGGTGGGATTTCCCCCCTCGTGTGTTTCAGTCTGGCTTGGCAGGATGCTGAGAATGCACCAGGACATAGTTTGGAATGCTAGTTATTAATGGTATTATGGTAGCACCCAAAGGCTCCAGCTGTCATCAGGAACCTGCTGTACTAGGAGCTGGTCAAACTCATAGGAAAACCCAGTCCCTGCCCTTGGGCCCTGCTTTATAAAGGTATTTAGGGGTTCTCAGCTCCGCGTTGCGACACCTCCCTGACTTTGGAGCCTCTGCCTCGCTTTCAACAGCCAGTCAAAAACATTAGAAGAACAATTTGGGGAACATTTGCAAAATGTCAACGTTGTTTGTGTTCAGCAGGGTTCGGAGTAGATTCATTTTCTATTTTGGGGGCAACATTTTTCATGGCACTTTGAAGCAAATTGTTACTGAAATGTACCCAAAACCTGGCTTCTGATCAATAAACATTCCTAAAGCAATTCTGACTTGTGAAAATGTTCACAACAAAAGAGAAACTTTCAATAGTCTCGACCGCTTGAAAACAGCTCTAATCACAGCCATAGAAATAAACCCTTGGCAAGGAGCCTGTGCGATCAGCTCTCGTGAATGTGACCAGGAGTTCTGCAAAGTTTAGAGGGCCAGTTTTCGGAGAGGACAGATGCCAGAGCTGATGGCTGTCCTCTCCGATGGGGATCTCGATATGGAATTACACTGTTGAAACAAATGCACAATTTCGTTAGTACCTGTGGAGGGGAAAGGGCGGATTCTCTAATCTGACTTCAAGTTTTCTCTCTCTCTCTCTCTAAGTATCAGGTTGAGCTGCATGTTTGGAATCAGGGCAGCGCCTAACCCCACAAACCCAACTTCCCGATTCTCTGGCTCATCCTCCCAACCCTGCCTTAGTTCATTCCTTCTTGCTGGTGACTCAGGCGCTCCCCACCCACTCTAGGCCCTTATTGGGCCATTGTTACATGGCATGGCAGCACCCTGCTATTTGTAATGCGTTTATCCTCCCCACCCTGTTGCGAGGGGGGGCCGGGCTCTCAGCTCCATTGCCCAGAAGAGGAAGTGAGGCCCAGAAAGACTAAGTGACTTGCCCCGGGTCAGGCAGGAAATCTGTGCCAGAGCAGGGAGCTGGACTAGGGTCTCCTGAGTCCTAGGCTTCCCCTCTTACCATTGCACCCTCCTTCCTAGCCAGTCAGCACCACACCAGCTCCATAGGGATTGAACTGGTGAGCTCCAGAACTAAAGGCAGGAGCTAAGGTTCCCTAGCTGCTAGGGCTGTAAGAGAGGCCTGTCCTCCATGGATCAGACCTGGAGGGCCGGGCCCTGGAATAAGTGTCAATTTTGAAACAAAAAGTCATTTTGAATCAGCAAAGTGGAAATTTTCATTTTGAAAATGCCAGAACAAAACATCTCAGCAACTTTGACACTTTTCTTTTCAACCCTTTTTCTGGTCAGGAGATCTAGGGAAACCGCCCCTGATTGGAAACAGCTTCTGTGTCGACCAATCGGCATTTTGTCACCCCCAAAAAAGGTTGTTGAAAAATTCTGGCCCAGTTCTACCCCTTGGTTCAAACACCAGGTCCAGTCCTCCAGAGCAGAGTTCTCACCTCGAGACCCGGCCAGCAGTCGGACGCTTACAGGGCGTGAGCCTGTATTCTGGGGCAAAAAGAAAAGGAGTACTTGTGGCACCTTAGAGACTAACCAATTTATTTGGTTAGCTACAGCTCACGAAAGCTCATGCTCAAATAAATTGGTTAGTCTCTAAGGTGCCACAAGTACTCCTTTTCTTTTTGCGAATACAGACTAACACGGCTGTTCCTCTGAAACCTGTATTCTGGGGCGTTTGCAACACCCCAGATAAAATCCTGCATCCCAGAGTAAATAGGCAGCCAGAGGAGTCTGCAGCGGGGAGATGACCCTGACTCCTACGGGCTCAAGTCCCCAGAAAAGTTGGGCCTCCCCCATGTTCTTCAACCACTTTCTGACTCTCAGCAAGGTAGACAGAGGACTCAGTAACTGGTGCAAATGTAACCAGCTGTACTTAGGCAGACAGCAGGGAATGAGCCCTTGTGACCTACAGAGTTCAAAGCATGAGTTACTGCAGCTTTGGCGAAAGGGATAGCAACCGCTGGCTCTTACATGAACCGGCCACGAGAGGGGACAGAGCCCTCCCTCTGGTGTGAGTTATTACACGGATATACCACACAAGGTGCAGTCTGAACGGCTCTATCCCTTGTGACAGCAACCCTGAGGCCTGCTTGAGCCAGGACAGAAAGGGTGGGGTGGAAATGCCAAAGCAAAACAAAGAGCAAGGGAACAGCGAAAAAGCTTCTAGTGTTTACCTGGGTCTGGCTCGAACTCCCTGAGTCTTCATTCTGCAGGCACAGAGGGATGTGTCTCTTTTTATTGGCTGTGGACATGAGGGAGAAAAGAGATGTTGAAACAGCACTGGAAGGAAAAAGTCCCTTGGCCAGGAAATGGTGCGTTGTGATTCAAGAGAGGAGGGTGAGAGCCGGGACGTGCACACGGCTGGAAACACCGGCTTTGGCGTGGGCATGGACCATGATGTCATGGAACGGAGCTCAGACGGGGGTTTTCTGGCTGGAACAGAAACAATTAAATGCCATTCAGTGCAAGGAGCTATATTTATCCTTGAAAAAACAGGGGGTATTTGGGAAGGGTTTTTTAATTGTTATGATAATCAGCTTACCTCCTCCACAATGCAGGCCACAGAATCTCACCCACCCACTCCTGCTATAAACCTCTCACCTATGTCTGAGCTACTGAAGTCCTCAGATCAGCTTATATGAGAAAAATTCCTCCTTCAAAAAGAGGAAGAAAATGTCTGTTATTTTGCCTGCTTGTTAAAGGCATTAATGAGGGGTGTGACAAAATAGCGGGAGATTCAGTAGGCATCAGGAAACAAAGAAATTATAATGGTCTATGAATCTTCATCGGTCTTTTAGTGCAATGGATCTTTAGAAACACTCCCAGATACAGTCACTTTTACCCAACTGCACTTTCAAAGATTTCAGATGCTTTGGCACAATTCATCCATTTTGGCCAAGATAACGCCACCAAGTGGGGGCTCAGACCTTCATTAATTAAGGTTCCCATCGCTTCCCCCTTCCGGGGAATCCCCATTTTACAGGTTTGCAGGAATACGGTCACAAATCTAGCTCTAGCTCTGAGCTGGGTTGAGACGGGTGGCCCAGACATGGCAGGAGAGGGAGGAAGCTTTAAGCCGCCCCCGATCCCACTCGCTCAGCCCCAGGCCAGTCCCTTGGTACAGAACACAGCAGTCTGAGGGCTGCTCTAAACTGCACTCACTGCCTACTAACGCAGCCAGAGATCACTGAGGTGCAGGGGTGCCCTGGCCACACACCCCTTTCCTCAACACCGGCAGCTAGGAAGGGCTTAACATAGGTGACACCGTGAGAGTTAGCACCCGAGGGTTCCTGGATGCAGGGCAACTCCTCCACTGGCTGGACCTGGCCCTTCCTGCTCAAGAACAGAGAGGGCTCCATTGGGCTAGGGTGACCAGACATCCCGATATGATAGGGACCATCCCAATATTAGGGGGTTTGTCTTACATAGGACCCTATTTCCCCCTCCCCCGTCCCAATTTTTCACGCTTGCTCTCTGGTCACCCTACATTGGGCTCTTGTGTAAGGGAGGCCAAAAGGGCTCAGGAGAAGACCTCTGGGCCCTGATCAAAGGACCTACACAAGAGAGGAGCTTTAATGTTTCCCTTATAAGTCACACTGCGCTGAGCACATCCGGCCCCGTGTCAAAGCTATTGACAGAGGCCCTCTGAGAAGCACCGCCCCGCTGTATCTTACCACCAGGCGGCAGCAGAAACTTACAGAAAGTTGCCTTCTGCTAGGGGCTGCCACCACCCACCCCCGGGTCTGTCCTGTGTCAGTCACCTCCCGTTCATGCTACAGTACTGGGAAATGAGCCTGGACTCTGAGTCAGGGCTGGGGCCTAGTCTGAAACAGCAGCTGTGTTTCCAGTCATGTTTTCCCCACTTGCATTCATGTTCTTTTCAGTGGCAACTGGATAATGCATTAAAAGCAGCACTTCACATAGTAATAATAAAGGCAGAATGGGGAGAAAGAGAGAGGACAGACAGATAGATAGATAGATAGATAGATAGATAGATAGATAGAGGGGGTGTCTGGGGATAGATAGATAGATAGATAGATCAGGGGCCAGCACCTGCACCCAGTGACACTGGTGTCACTCCAGAGTCACTCTGCTTAAGTCAGTGGGGTTATTCTGGATTTACAATGATGTAAATGAGAGTAGAATTTGGCCCTTTGCCTGCACTGGGGATGTAGCAGGCCTGATTTGAACCCGTGTAAGTGAGATGAGACTCAAGCTGTGAAAGGCCATGCTTTGCACCCTTTTCTACCCCATTTCACCCCTTGAAGGGACCGCACAGAACCACATGAGGAGCTTCCGGCCCAGTTCTGCCCAGGGCTGAGCACACTGCGGGACTTGAAGGCACTCAGCACCCTGCAGGATTGGGCCCTCCGTTGCCCTAGGCAGGGTGAGGTGATGGTGGGTCTGACTCTCTGTAGCCCAGCACCTCGTGCAGTCATTTGCACCCATGGAAAGCGGGAGTGAAACCTTATCAGGCAGTGGTAAAGTGGGCCTGGGATCTCTGCGATTTATTGACCTGATCCAAACACCACTGAAGGTTGGGAAAAATCTGAATCCATGTTTGCATCCAAGCTCCGCAGCCCTTGACTGGCAACCAAGGCTTTGACACCCATGCAAGCCAGGGCACCGTTATTAGCCCCATTTTATAGGTGGGGAAACTGAGGCAGGGAGCCATTAAAGCGACTTGCTCAGCAGCAGCACAGAAAACCAGAGCCAGCTGTAGAAACCAGACATTCTGAGGCCCAGATCTGTGACCTTAACCAAAGAACCGCCCTTCCCTCCACAGCTGTGCAGTCCCATAGCATGGAGTGAAGGAGGGGAGCGCCTTCCTGACCCTACCTGGATCTCTGTTCATGCCCTGAAGCATGAGGGCTGGTGACCCATATTTTTTTATTCTAGCAGATGCTGGTCTCATGATTCTGGTGAACATTGGATCCATTTCCGAATGGGGCGAGGCAACATTCCTCGACAGTCCCCTGTGGCAATGAACTTCACAGGATAATTGCGCAGTGTGTAAAAGACTCATCTCCTGGTGTCTATTTTTGTCATCTGCTAATTTCATCAGCTTCTCGCTAAGGGACGTGTGTTGTTCTGTTGCCACTTAGGCCGGGTGGGGCCCTGAGCCCTTTTCTACTCTGCACCGAACGAAGCAAGAACAGTGACAAGACATTACTAGGGCCTGATTCTCAGTTACACCCCCTGTAAGTCACTGCGGCAGGAAAAAGGAGCCTTAAAGTGGCTGGAAGCTCCCTTGTGCAGGGGGCCTCAGCAGCCCACCCTGCTCACTGCCGCTGGTGTGGGGATGGGATCAGGGCTGTGGCCGGAGAGCGCCACACTACGGTTACTCCCTGTTTCCACGGCTCACAGGGGCCTGTGAGAACCAGAGCACAAATTAGAACCACGTTGAGGCTGCTCTAACTGACCCCAGGAGCCAGACAGTGCCTTGGGCTAAAACTAATCCCCCCCGCCCCCAGTGGCTGGAACCAGGTAGCAGATTTGGGTCCCTGGAGCGCTATGCACCTCAGATCGGAAGCCCCGAAGTGGCCAGACCAGTGACGGTGATGGGGTGGAGGCTACATGAAGAGGAGTTTGGGATGGGCTGAAATCTGAATGTTACCTCAGGAGATGGATGCATGCAGCTGGCCGGCCTTTCCCCTGGCACTCGTCAGCCCCTGGGCTCCAGGTGTCCCCGCAGGGCCAGGTGCTCCTCTGACACCTGTGCACCTCCTTTGACTCCCGTGAAGTTTATTCATCTTATGCCATGTCGGACAGTGTCAAAAGCCTGACAGAAATCCACGTCTACAGTTTCCCCCCATCCACTAGGCCCGTCGCCCTGTCAAAGGAGCAAACGTGGGTTGGCGCGGGATGATTTGTTCCTGAGAAATCCACGCTGCCTGCTCCTTGGCACCCTTTGAGCCACGAGAGGCTCACAAGCGGATTGTTTAATACCCTTGTTTAATAATGTTCCTAAGTGCCGGCACAGTCCACGATATGCTTCCCTGGAAGGCTCCTTCTGTTTCTAGCACGGTATTTGCCACTCCCCATTGCAACACTCATGCGTCCCAGAACATGCTCGCTCTCTCGCTCTCTCGCTTCCAGGAGCTTGGATAAGCCAGCCTGATCACTGCAAGGTTGGGCCCTCTGGGCATGTGTGTTTTGATGGATTCTTAAGGCCAGGGGGGAAATCATAGAATCACAGGGCTAGAAGGGACCACAAGGGTCATCGAGTCTAAACCCCTACCAGCAGAGCTCCAGAGACATCCGTGGGGCTACATCTATTTATACCAGCTGAGGATCAGGCCCCCTCGATTCCCAGCCCGGAGGAACTATCCGTTCCAACCTCCTGCAGAAGAGAAGCCACAGAACTGACCCAGGGATTCTGACATGGAGCTTGATCATTTGTAGTTGAACGAGAGGGTGCATGTAAATCTAATGGTGTGTGCATCCTCTGGGGAGGGCCCCAATATGACCCTGATGCCCCTCCCCCATTCTCCCTTGTCCTCCCCCCCGACACACACATACCCCTACCTACCTTATCTGGTGCGTGGTCTTCCCCCACCCTCCAGTACTGAGGTATCTTCTTCCAGGGGCCAACCAAGCATCGGAGATGACCCCATGGCCACCATCCAAAAGGGGGATTCTAGGGAGGAGGTGAAGGTAACAGGCCGGTATGCTATGCATCTCTGCTCCTGCTCAAAGAATTAACCCCCCCGGGCCTGCTGAAGTGAAGCAGAGCTGTAAGGGAGGGCACATGGCTGGGGTAGGGAAGGGAAAGGTTCCAAAGCACGGAGCATTTTGTTGCTTCTCTGACCTAATCTGTAGAGGCCTGACTTTTCGGAGGCGCTCAGCACCCGGCAGTCGGAGCAGTGGGTGCCCAGCACCTATGAAATCCAGGCCCAAAGCTTTAGAGGCGCTCCCTACAAGCGGTCTAGCCTGGAGGAGTTCTGGGTCCCCACCACCCTGAGGAGTAATCGTCCGCCTTTGCAGACTGGTGCGGGTCGGCATCACGTGACCTCTACCCCGCCATACACGGTCACACGGACTGGTAGCTCCATTGCCTTGTTGTTTTCAAGGTGCAAAGTCGACTGTGCGCCGTTACAGAATTGTCGCCATGTGCGGCTGGGAGGGACCTCGAGAGGTTTGCTAGTCTGGCCCTCAGCACTGAGGCAGGGCCAAGTAAACTTACACCAGCCCTGACAGGGGATTGTCCAACCCATCCTGAAAAACCTCCAGTGATGGGCATTCGGCCCCTTGGTCACGTATTCCAGCACTTAGCTATCCTTACGGTAGTGTGAGTGGATTTTGCTGCGCATCAACCCTGCGCTTCAGACTTGACG